ATCATTAGACCACGGATTTCACGCGTTTCCGTGATAAGATAGAAGCTATAATCATTGACGAGGAGGATCGGCGTCCGTTGAAATCTGATTCCCGAGCGTGTAAGTTTAGCATAAAAATATCCAGCGTAGCGTCTCGAGAATGATTGGCTCATCGATCCATGATCATCGAGCTTCCTTGCCGGCTAACGGAGAATTTGATTAGCCCCGTTCGATCAGCTTACAGTTCAGGCATCCTCTGTATAGTAGCTACCCTTCCACACGTATACACACTCACCCCTTGAGACGATTATTTATTTTTGTAACAGCGTCGATTCTAATTTGCGTCGCGCGTCGTCTGTTTTTCTCAGCGTGCCGCGACGAGTGGCATATGTATCTATATATATACATACACAAACACAAACACACGTTCACGTAACACACGATAAACACACACACACACATACACGACGTACACATGAATTTCTTATCATAGATTGTGATATTTAACTAATTAATAATTAGCAAAGATAATTCTAAATCGTGCGCATGCGCTAGCGAGAAAGTAGGCGGCCCAGCTCACCCTCGGGGTAGGACGCGAGCCCCGAAGAGTGAATACAATTTCAAATTTGTCCTTTTCCGATTCCGCGATCTTCGAGGTGGATCCGAGGGTGGAGGGTAAAAAGCAAAAACGATCAAAAGAGGAATATTACGAGGCAGGAGGATCGAAGGAGTCGCTCGCGCTTGTTCCGGTCGCGCGCACGGTGAATCGATTTCGCCGTGTGAACCGTGTTTCCGAGGGATATCGTCGAATCCCGCTCGCCGCGGCAGCGCCGCCGATTCGGCGAATACGAGATTCCGTCTCGTATTGTCCGACGGACGCGTTGGCGGCGGGGGACGACGGGGAAAACGAAACACGCGGGCTGAATCGCCTGATTTCGTGAACCTTCGGCTCGTGAATCGTTTATTATTGTACCGAACGTGAAACGGAGCCGTTCGAGCGAGAGTCACGTGGTGTTCGAGCTCTGATGTGTGCACGGTGCACAGCAATCGATAGACTGCGGATGTTTATACAAATTTATATTTTTTTAGACTAATTTTTCGAGAAGCAGGAGGACGATTGAACGTGGAAAGTCATTTCTCCCTCGCGGGGGATTATTATGAAATTCATAATAAAGTGAACGCTTGAGAATTCTGTGAGTTTATTGAATTTGTAGGATTCCGCCACGGATTCTTTTTTAATACGTCTCGTCTTGCGATAGAGAAGCCATTGCTGCCCTTACTGATAGATATTAGCTTTATTTATAAATAATACGACGTAATCTTACGTTAATCGATTTCTCTTTGAATCCAACGACATCGATATCAAAATGGTAACGTTACGTACGAGTCAGTATAATTTTATTTCTCGCCTCGGAGACACTAGAGGTGTCTATCATTCTCGAAGGACGATCACGACAAAGTTTCATTTTCCAGTCCTTCCAGAAGAGTCGGCGCCCTTGTTAATCAAAGTTACCATTTGAATTTCACGTCCCGAAAGAATAGCGTCGGAAGAGTAAAAGAAATTCAAGTGAATCCTAGTTAAAGCGACCTTTCCGCTGGAGGATGGTAAAAAGTATCATTAACGTCGTCATTTCCTCGAGACAACGTGACTTTTATGGGAACGCTCGGTTGTCCTGTAGTAAATGGTTCACGAGTGATTCGCTCTGAGCACAGGTGACTCAGCCTACGCGCGATCAAACGAGAGACGCGTGCGAGGGAAATGAATCGCGACGAACGAGGCGGAGGAAGAGACGCGGAAACGCGTCGCGCCGAGCCGCCGGAGGGAGCGTCCAGTTTCCGTTTCACCCGGGCAGTATAAATAATACGCTAGAAACGTTTATTAACACGTTGACTGCCGCGAGAACTTCGAGCGTTTTCTCTAGCAATATATATATATATATATATTCCCTCGTAACGAAGACAGACGGCGTTGGTAGTAACTCCGAATGACTTGGCATCGCGGTGCTCGCGGTGCATCATCCAGCTGTTCGCGTTACTAAATATTTTCGTTCAACAGTTTTCTTATCGTAATCGTATTCAAGCAATTCGGAAACACCTGTCACCGGTGACCGTTCGCGACAGTCAACGTGTTCGCCGCTGTTCTCGGACGAAAAGGTCGCGGTTCGTATTGGTTCGGCAAACGATGGCCAGGATCATCGTGGATCGAACTAGACGTCGATCCGTCGATCGAGGGACGTTCCAGTCGACGCGCCTCAACATTCATCGACCGTATAAACGACTACTTCGCCTTAACGATTTTAATAGCCATAAAAATTCGCCTTAACGATAATCTAGTGACCATAGTAACCGACTAGACACTCCGATACTAGCAAACTGGATCCGTCGGTCGATCGATCGGCGCCGTTAGAGGGGCGAGGCAGCAATAAATAAATTTACGTTCGTCGCCGTCGTCGGTCGCCGCGGAGCTTACGGACCGACGAACGTGAACCCGGGGATGCCGGACCAACGCGACCGGATCGTTTTCAGTGTCGTCACCGATCATCCTCTCGGCTACCTGATACCGTGATAATTTGTACATAAAGAATCGCGTAAGCAATTTACCCGCGTACCTATGATACCGATGAAATCTATATAGGTATATATTATATATATACGTATATAAAAGATAGATCTATTGAAGTTGGTTGGTAGTAAGCGTGAACGAGGTCCGCGTTGAACGCCCGAGTCTGCCCGCGCCGTGTTCGAGGACTGTGCAGGGCGCCGCTGAAAGTAGGGACTGACGCAGAGTGCGAATCTTGAATTACGAATCGTAGTAACCGTTCGCTTCTAAATGTTCCCCGGGAATGTCGCCGATTTTCGTGTACTTCGACCCTTTGTGCTCTGAGCGACGCCATTCTTATCGCGCTGTCTTTGATTTGGAATCTCGATATCTCGTCGAGAGTCTGCGTCGTTATTCGAAATTATCAGGGAATTAATGTGTATAATGATACTAGTGATTAACGAATTAAATATATGCTTTCCGTAGCAATATTTGAGTGGTACTTCAGGGCACGAAGGGTTAACGTGAGTTAATAGGACCGTTAACGACTGGTCGAAGGAACTTTCTGTTGTCTTTCAAGAGCTCGATCGCCACTTTTGTAAACGATTCGTAAGGACGACAGTCGAAACTGATACGCGAAGTTCTATAAGGATGATTTTATAGACAGGCGAATGTTTTCCTTCGATACTGCATTGTCTGTCAAATCGGAACTCATGTTGGGGACATCTACAAACTTTATTCCGATGTAACAGATGGAACCGATGTAGTGACTCTCTGGTGCTCTGGCAAATGAATATTAAATTGGAATTTCTTGAACCAGGTTTCTACGCAATTTTACAACTGTATGAAAATTGAAGTTCAATGAGACTTTGTTCTCTTCAATTCTGTTAACAAAAATGTCAATCGGAAGCATAGAGTCCTGGTGTCTTAATTCTCAGTTTTGTGATTCTGTTTTAACACTGTTTGTCTGAAATGTTAACTTAAAATTATTCTCCAAGGTTATTCATATACTCTGAATTGACTTTTCGACTTTTCTAATAACGATCATAAAATTAACTACAGGAAATGTCCAAAATTCAATTCAAGATTAAACCGAGAAGCTAATTTTAAGCTAAAATTTCAGGTGTCGTTTGACACCTTCGGTACAGATAGCGTTACACTGGAATTCAGGTGCATCCCTGATTAATCAACGCGTGACACTTCGACTGCCAAGTAAATAACCATCGAAACTCCCATGCAATTGAAGCAGTTCTCTTAACAAAGCAAAAACTAGTCAAAATTCTTCGTAACCATTACTACTTTTCTTATATCTCACACATTCGATAAAACACAGTTCGATCGTCGCCAAGAAAATGAATGTTGAAGATTACGTTAAAAATGTCAGTCGAAGCGTTCAAGCTGCAGTGCTCTGTTTGGCGTTTGACAGTCCCAAGTGTCGCTATATTCGTTCCATCAAGCACGAGGCGAACATCTTCTGTACCAAGTGCCCCATGCATGCACGATAACACGTGTTACGATCATTTCTAGACGGTCGTACCGCGCGTTGCCGGAAAGATGGCATCTGGGACGGCGCAGAGCAAGAGATAACCTCCACTGTGTGCTTCGTTTATTTTCACCGTTACACGGTACACGTCTTTTCGGCGTACAGCACGCTGGAATCGAAAAAAGTGGGCGTGCTTCCTTTCGAGCTGTCCAATCAGACTAGCCTTCCTTCGACATGCCTTCTTTCCGTCAACGCGCTGCATTACGCACCGTCGCAAGCGTTCCAGTATATATTGATCGATGTCTTTTTTCGTGCGAACGAGTTCCGAGCGAGTTTCAACACGTCGTCGCAACAATTTGTGGATATCCGAGGCCGTCAGAGCTGCGAAACGAGACTATCGATTAATTGGCCAATGGACTTTCGCCCTTCTGCCGGATATTAACAGCTGACAATTCGGACACGCGGTCGTCGAAGACCTTCTGGTTCAGAAATAATATCCGGTCGTTCTGCAAAACACGTTGGCGCCAACTTTTACCGAGAAACGCTGATTCCGACGTTCAGTTTTTAAGTCTTTCGTTGTAAGAGGTGATCGTAGAGCTAGAAACTTGGTAGTACTCGATGAATCTACGAAATTTGTTTCTTCAGTTGTTCCTCATTTCTCGAGGGGTTCTTCGATTCTTTTTTTTTTGATGAATGTTCGGTGTTTCTAAGCGAAGAATCGATTCTCTGTGGAATTTAACGTGAGAATTAGCAATTTTGTGGTAAAGGTTGGCGTTAGATGATGAGATTGTTCGTGGAATGGCATGATTTGCACAATGTTT